ACCGGCTACCCGGGTACCCTTTTGCATAATTCTCGCTTAAAGTATTTGATCTTCGTTGTTTGACACATTTCCTATCCGTGTTTGCCTCGAGTTTAGAATTTTCGTATCAGAAAACTACTAAAATTGGACGACAAAGTAGACGACAATTCTGGTTATAGACATAAGTGTTAAGAACGTGTGGTGCAAACCTGCGTTCCAAGGGCTACACTCGCAATTAGCAGTTAGACAATCAACCGCTTGTCTAGTTCGATGAAAAACGTGCTTCGTTATTCTCGTAGTGGAAAGATCGCCACTGAACGCGGCTAATTAAAATAAAACAAAGATCAACAGACGAGGGTTTCGATCGTTGGCGATTAAATTTCGAACGATTCGTAGATAAAACACGTTCGATTCGATCCGAATGGAGAATAATCGCGGCGGGGATCGTAGGTAGTCGGAGAATCGGGGAACAGAGTGCGTCGTGGTATTATATGCAGCCTTCAGCCGACGATAATTCAGCAAATGCTGCCGCGGAGACCTAACTGCGATTCCGGTCGGACATAACTTCCGCGAGCCGCTATCGCGGAACTCCACACCTCTACTTTATTAAATGTACACACATACCGTGGCTCACCGGTTCGTTCGGATACTCGATACGCGATGATACCGCGTTAAAAAAAAAGGTGTTCATGAAGCGATGCACCGTAATCCTGCTCGATTTGCGTCGGAATTAAGAGCAACTTGGAGAAACGAGTGATCGTAGGAGTTCGATTGCTCGCGTGGTTAATTAGGGAATTGTTCGATTAGTTTTTCGTGTTGTTGAGTAGTGGGTTTCGTTAACCATTTCGCTGCTGGTTTTGTTCGAATACTCGAACAAAAATTGATCTCAGTTTAGCATTTATTGTAGACTCGGTGATGGATAGATAAATAAGAGATTCAAAAAAATTCCATCACGGAAGGGATAAAACGCTTTAACCCTTTGACAGTCTGATAAAATTGTGAATTACGATAAAAAACGGAATTACGGAATTACGTAATCCTACGTCATAGTTATGTCCCTTTTTAACTTTCTTCCAAAGAGTCTCTCTTAAGCTAAACAGTCGAGTATTTGATAAACTGTCGCTGTGTACGAAATATCTTCACTTTGCTCAATATTTTACATTTTATATTTGTGAAGTAATTAACAAAAGCCCAGTGATGCCGTACTATTTGATTATGACAGTAGTGAAAGGGTTAAATGAATTTTTTCGTACACCCAGGTAGATACGACTTGTATAAAAACGAGCTTCGAGAATACACTTTCCGCGTCAAAGTGTCACCGTAACTTTAAACATTATCAATTTCGCCCATCTATATACTAATTTAATTATTACACGATATAACGCCTGGAAGAATTGTTGAGATTTCATTAAAGACAACCCGGTGCACTTGCAGGCCGTGCTCTTCGCTCGGTATCACGCGCGATAACTCGATTAGCCACGATAACCGAATATTTATTAGCCCGCGAGATTTCATTTTGATACCGAAACTCTCCGTGCCTTACCCTCCGTGCAACGATGCGTTTCTCCGACCGGAAGTTGCACGTCGAGGAGTACACGCTCGAATTCGCCGCGAGATACCACCGGCGTGGATTGAAATATTGCGCGCCGTATTCGAAAGGGGTGAATTTCCATGAAATTCCTCCGGCGGTTCCCCTAGGCTGTCCACGAAGACACAATTTCGAGCCATCAACTTCTCATTACCGATTCACCGCTGATAAAGAAAAAAAGTTTCCTCTCGGGTAAAAGGTTTCACTCCTTAAAGGATCCCATATTTAATATTCCCCATGAGGGAAACTTTCACTCGGTCGGGTTTTTCTGTCGCCGCCGCGACGTTTTCGTCCTTGTTCGGCCGTATGCACCTTTGAACGTCCGCACCTAAAATTACGAGCGAATAAAAATTCTTCTCGTTTGCGAGAGTTTCGCGGCGAAACGACGTGTAATAAAATCCACTAAAGAGAATCGCCAACGGTGAAACATCTTCGAAAGGTGCGTACCTATACGCGCTCGATGCGTAATTGCCGCTCCAATTAATGTGCAGCAACACTCGCGTTTCAGGTTGGTGATAAAATAGCACTTTACATTCGGATGTAATATCTCGTCTCGTCACCCCTTCTTTCTTCTCTCGGACGTTGCATTCAGTCGCCGGAACGGGGGGGGCTACACACTTGCCCGCCGATTTATGGATCCGTCGATACAGTTTTGTCGAAATTGAAAGAGCGTTGAAAGTGCCGAGGGGAGGGAAACGGGGAGAGGATCGATCGAGATATATACGGTACATATCGAATTACGAGGGGATTATCGTCGTGCAGAGGGATCAACGCGTAGCCGTGGCGCACGATAATTATTTCTGCGTTAGCCATAATTATTACCGGGGTGGCAATTAATTCCTGCCCGAGCGGCAATTAATTTATCGCGGCTTGATTAATTGCCGCATGCTCAACGCTGAGAGACAGTTCGTTGCTGTGCTGCTGGATCTCCCTTCTTTGCCGGCGATAAAAATCGCCCATTGTAGCCTTTTTTTTGTAGAAGACACTCTGCGACATCTGGGACACTCGGTGTTCCTTTATCTGATTCAAAGTGCTTCCAGATAAATCGTAAATTCTGATCGATTGTTTCTTCGATTAATTTCTGAAATTTTCAATATTTATTTCTGCATTTTTCTGAGATACTAGGTGCAGTTGTGTAGTAAAATAGACCACCCAGGCTATTCTACCGTAGATATTCCAAAGTTCCGCCGCAGTATGGGCATTTTATTAATTGTCCCGATCCCAGGACCTCTCGAAACGTTTTCCCCTGTCGAACAAAAGTGCAGGCATCGATAATGCACCAGCTATCGTATTTTTCACCCGTTATCGAGGGAGGATCGAGCGACAAATGGCGGTCCCGGGAGGTATTGCGTAGATTTTCACTTTTCACTTGGCACGACCGGCCATTTGCGGCGATCTTTGAGCGTAGCGCCCCGGAGAAACGACGTTTCTCAGCTGAGGGATGTGCTGTTTGGAAAACACGATTCGTTCCGTTCCGTGGCCATTGTGGCCCCTGGACACGTCGAATTTTTCGAAATCGACCAGGTAGACGATCCCCTTTCGTCACGCTGGTTTTTGGCCACGCCGGTGAATAGCCGGCCGCGCTGGACACGCGGCAGGTTGAATAAAATCGTCGATCCTTTGCGATACGTGAATTTTCCGATTCACCGGCGTCGCTGACAAAAAGGTGTCTTCGACCTTCGATTCTTCCCGACCTATTGTTCTCGCGTCGAACTGCATACTTCTCTCGTGATAATTTATATATTTCCAGAAATTCCCGTGTCGGTGGAATTTCTTTTTTTCTTTTTTTTAAAGAACACTACAGATCCTTCTTCTACTGTTTATTGGAAACCTTGATACACTCGAGCTTAATTATAAATATTATGGATCGTACAATGCTATATTTACAAGTAATTCGATCGACCAGGTGGATCCTGTTGGTAATTGTCGTGTTAGAAAAGAGATACTGAGAACGAGAACGTTAGAGAATATGGTTCCGGAACGACCAGGAGGGGAAATTAATATTTCGGACAAAAACGTTCACGAAAATAGTGTCAGAAGGCGAAATTCTTGAATAAATATCAAGAGGAGAGAGCCGAGAGCTACGTTTCTTTCGCTCTCCTCCCCGATTCGCGCGGGGTTCATCTCGTGAAATATTATTTAATCCTCACTGGCCGTTCGCGCTCGTGGCAATTCCGCGATGTTCCTGCCTCTCGAGAATTGGAAGAAAAAGGGGAAGAAAGAGTATCTTAGTATGAAGAAGATAAGAGGAAATCAAGACACACTTGGTCGCTGCGTATATACCATTATGCATATGAGTATAAACCTAGATATTGTAGCTGTTTATTGCATAGCGATATTTGTATCATACGATAATGCATTATTCGCGAACATTCAGAAACCTTGGCTTGTGAAATCGTGTCAGTCGGTTGCGTTTTTTTTCTTTTATACTATTCCTCGGCGATGCAGCTGGAAATAATTGGAAGTTCAAAGTCAGAAAATTTCACGGCCTTCTAATTTCTTCTTTCGATACAACATATGCTGATTTTTACGTAAAGTGTGATTAACTATTTGTTCAGCTGCAACTCGAGATTCCGATAATTTTCTTCGCGTTCCTGAATATGGCGAGCAATGATATTAGACATACTTATAAGTACTGAATCTCATCGACGGCATTACGCGCCTGTATATCTAGTTATTTATTTCGATCTCTCACAGTGTCGTTCACACGATCGAAAAAAATGCATTTTTTTTCTAAAATTGTTTTTTAATATTCAAATCTTTTCGCTTTCTTTCGATCGTGCACTCGACAACGGAGACCGTGGCAAAATCCTCGACTTCTAAATTCGCCTTGATTCGTTATTATCGACGAGCGGCAACTCGCTTGTACGCACGATAAAGAAGTTGCGATTCAGAAAGAGCGATCAAGAGAAATAGAGAGAATAGGAAACAGCGTTGCCTGGAAAAAGAAGCGCGAGTTCAATCGTTAACGATCTACTGGACTACGTTTCACTTCATCGACGGTGAATCGACTATTTAGCGGAAAAAAAAAGAAAAAAAAATAGAACGAAGAAGAACAAAATATTAATAATAATTCTAATCACATTTATCACAATGTTCCACAACTTTTCTCTAATTCAATTTTCTATCTATCCGTCTATGCTGATCCTCGCTTCGAAGTACAAAATTTTTCGTCCAAGTACACTTGTGTTCCCCGTTGAGCTTGGGTCTCTCGTTTTTATCGACCGTCGAGTGGAAGTGCCGATTTTGTTGACCGAGTCAGCGGCCAACCGCATTTTACCGACTGTGCTTCTCGCGTACGCAGTGATCGTCCTCGCATTATCGACAGAGAATGATCCTTTCTGTGATCCCCCTCGACACGCTCGTACCGATTGGAAACGCCACGAAAGAGAACGGAAAGGAGAAACTCGCTTGTACATTGAAGGAGGCCGCGTTTAGTTGATTCTACCCTTGTGTGTCATGTAGCTTATGCTGTCGGAGAGCAGCTTTTCCCTGGCCTGTCGTCGCATTCGCGAGCACATGGCCAATATCGTTCCTGCCATTATGCAGAGGAAACCGCAACCCACGCCTATCACCGTGCTGAGAATCGACGATCTGAGGCACACTCTGTCGTTCGTTGGTTCACTGGGTCCTGGAAAATTGTCCAAAATCAATACGAGCAACCGAGACGTTCCTTAATTAATTAAATATAGCGAGGTGTTGAAATAAGTAATCTATGACTCTTTTTATTTGAATATTTAAAAAAAATTAGCATTAATGGTTCGTTCAATTTTACAAACAATAGGGAATTACTTATTCCTCTGTTTAACCCGTTAAGTCCGAGTGGGACTCCAGAATTTTTATTAACCCTCTAAGTTGAGGGGTTCAGAATTTTTTTCAGGGTTGAAATAGTCTCCTTTACACTTGGGATTGGGAGGCTACTCTTTGGAACGCATAAAAATGGGAAAATCATGGATTTCTGGTACGGGAGTCTGCAGTCCCACCGGACTTAAAGGGTTAACCCCTTAACGCTCACATTTTTCTCTATTTGGTCTGCCAAAAATGACCAATTGTAGTGTTTTCTTAATTATTTTCTAGGCGTATATAACTAAGTTTTCCATTTATTTGCAACGCCGTAACTTGCATTTTTACCATAGAATAGAAAACAGTATGGAAAGTGAAAGAAAATAATGAAACAAAATTGCACTTCTTGGAGAATTAATTCTGCACGTGTATTCGAATTAACGTTGATTACCACTTCTGAAGGCTGTAGTTGAATTCTGGAAGAATTCCGTGTCGGCTTCACCCTCTTGTAAAACGCGTAACGATTGGAAGAGGTTGACGTTCTCCGACAAGCTCGTCGCTGGTGTCGAAGGGCCGCCGATTTCTGGCAACGAACGTTTCGCCACGTTCTTGGCGTTTCTCCAATGACACGGTTGGCTCTGCATACGATTCAACGAGTAATTGCATAGCAACAGGTATTGTGAAGTTGGCGAGTTAGTAGGTTATCCTCGATTCGACGATCATTGGACAATCGAACGAGCAATCGTTTCTATACTCACCGGACATCTTCCGTGGCACATTCTCACATCACACTCGATGTACAAAGCCGGCGAACCGGTGAACCTGAACGTCTTCATGTAAGCGAACACTTGCGTCTCAAAGAGACCGCTCTCCGACCAGGATCCACGGAATCTGCTGATCAATTTATCATCGACGGGGCATCCGTACTGATCGATCAGCTGAATCCTCTTATTTCCGCCGTTGTGCGCGTAGCAGTCGTTCACGACGATGTCGAAACCATCTGTCGAGCATCAGAATGTCCATTTTATTTCACCTGGATGATTTAACCCGACGGAATTGTCTATTGTGGAAATCTGTACGCACGAACGTCGTCGGAGTTGGGCAAGTTAGGGAATTTTTTGAAATTATGCGGCGTGAAAAAGAACGTAGAAAGTTTTCATGTTTTCTTTTCTTTCGAGATATTCCAGATAGCGATTTTCATCGTTATCAATCGGGACTGTTGCTCTCGAGAGTACTCTGAAATTGAGTGTCTGGCTGTCAGCCAGCATTCTCAATACCCTGCAAGTAAGTATTTACACTGATAAATTCGACTCTCGAGAGAAACTCGCGATAGCCTTACTCTCAAATGCACACGTAGCCTTAATAAAATTAACGAACAAAATTTCTCAGAATAATATTCGAGAGTGAAATATACCTCCATGACCTACATTCTCATTTCCAAAAGATACTTAAAAGGATTCCTAAAAAATGTAAACACAAACTTCCTTTATCCCCTAATGCATTAAAACGAGAAAGTCCCAGTGAAGGATGATGCGATTATCGCACAAGTAACCCTTCCCTCATTAGCATATCGATCTTTGAAGCGGCGAACCCCTACGCGGCTGATTTTAGCCGTTCCAAGGGAAAAGCTCGCAAAAGATCGGCCGGTTGAATTGTCCCGTTATCCCGTGGAATAACACCGGGCAGATGTTACTAAGCGCCAGGCGATTAGGCCTCCGGCCGAACGGAGAGTAAAGCGAAAATGCGTGCGGTCGTACCGTATTTGCTGCGCATGTAGATAATGAGAGTCAGGGGATCGCCGACGCGAACTGGTCCAGCCACTCTAGTTCCAGTGGTCCCGTAACCGTATCTGATTTCCATGTAGCACTCCGGTGGCTGCAGGGTGAACACTACGGGATTTCCCGTCGCGACTCTGGAAGAAGATATCAGAGACTCCGGCTAGATGCGACTTCCCGTTACCCGCCAGTGGGACAACGTTCCACTCCACGATAGAAATATCCCCGATTTTTATTATCCGTCATTAACACGTTCTGGAGAATTTCACGAAACGTTTGCTATTCCAGGTGTCCGTTATGACTAGATGGATTTCATTTTTGTCCGATACTTCATTTGTCTCTTTCTAATCTTTTCCTGGAATGTTGTGAAATAACGCGGTCACCGGTGGATCTTTTCTGTCGTAAATTCTGGGTCACTTTGGCAAATAGACCCACGTGGGTCACTTGGACAAGTGATATAATTACAGCGTGGGTCACGCAGTCCTGAACGTGTTAATTTGCGAATTTTCACAGTTTCGTTTAGACACTTACTCGACGTCGAGAAACGGAAAAGTGACGGTCTTCCAGAAATCGTAGCCGTACTCGCAAGTCACTTTAAAGTGCTCGTCGAACTCCTCCTCGATCAGCGGGTTGTACTGCACCGTGACCGTGTTCCACATCAGGTTTTTCTGCAACGGCAGGAAATCGAGCGTCGTAAATCGCGCGATAAAAAGCTGCAATACCTCCTCGTTTGCCCGAAATAATGCTCGTCGATCAGCGTACTTAGCTTACTTAACCAGAAAATCGACGTTTACTTATTTCATTCTCTCTGTGCGAGATTTAGAGCACACCGTAGCTAAAGGGTTAACACCGTCCCAGTATTAAAAAATTTCATCGAGCACGCGACACGAAGGAGAATTTTAGCTTGGCTCGGTACAAGTCACGGAGCGTTCACGCGCGTCGAATAAATCACGTTACGGTGGAGTAACAGAATTATTAGCAACGGCGTGCCTTTATGATCCGCGAGCGCTAAAGATCCCCAGCGGGTTCGCGTGTGTGTATATTAATACGTCTATTCGCGGGACACGGTCGATCGTTAAACGTCCCCGTTCCCCGATCAACGAAATAAAACCGTAACGAGCGAGAGAGAGAGCCCGTACTTTTCTGGCGAACGTTAATCATTATTATTCCTTGTCAAAAGAGAAGGCAGTCACGCTGTGATCGTAACGAACCACGCCACTCTCTATCCCTCTGCACCGTGTTCCTCTGTGCTCTTTTTCTACGTACCGTAGGATTCTTTCGGCTGTCCTGATGATGAGTGTTCTCGCCAAGGGTGCCGCAACGATTCAGCTGAATGTAGAACTCGTAGTAGTCGCGGCCTGTCCCGTTCACGTACATGCAGTCCGGGTCGTAGGAGTAGCCTGCAATTGAAATTGATCGTCCTCCGTCAACCGATTTCTCCAGCTACTTCTACGATCGAGCCTGACGTGTGTACATTTGATCGAATATCTTTGGTGGTCGATGAGTTATGGATATTGGATAACTGTTTCACTCGGACCGATTTTCGAAGGATGCACAATGGAGAAAGGATAACAGAGATGTAACAGAGATTCGTCGAGTAGCACGAAAGGTACGCAGGACGATTCTACGGGCAAAAGTAAGTAGAAAATACGGAATAACGTTTTTTCGTAGGAAGCTTAGTTTTCGAGAAAATTGAATTGGAAATTGGTGGGGTGCGCGTGCGTTTGTGGCGGGAAATTTGAAACGGGGGAAGAGGATCGCTGTTAAGAAACGAATTCGTAGGAATGTTTGAAACGGAAAAAGCTGATTACTGTCGCGTAACCTAACAGGAAATGAGGAGTGATAGAAAACAGAGGGAATTCTGTGCAATTTTAACGAACGTATAATTTGGCGGCAAATTTAAACCGAAGAAAGTGTGTCGGTGTAGAAAGACGAATCTTTCGGATGAAAAAGGTTGATTACCGCCACTTAGCCTAACAGGACATAAAATGTAGCGAACTGGCTTAAAAATCAAAGGAGAACGGTGATTATTTATTCCATAGGAGTGGACGTCGGAAACACGCCGAGAGGCGAACAGTCTGCGAGCACGAGTATGGTCAAGAAGGACGCGCTATTCGCAGGTGCATCGCGTGCATCGCGCGTAGAGTAGGCAACACGCGTTATGCTTCTTTCAAAATAACGGAAGCTCGTGGTCCGACCGTGCTAGGCGTTCTCCGAGCTCGCCTTGGAAAAAGGAAAATTCCCTCCTGCGTTTCTCGCCGGTACGGCTAGAGAGAGCCCGCTAGTAGATCGTTTCACGATAATGTTTCTGCCATTAGCTCGTCAGCGTTGCAGCAGTTCGAGCGTTCTGTTGTCCGCGAGGAGAGAGAGATGATGATTGCGAGCGTGAGGTCGTACAGTTCGGACGTGATAGCACGTCCTTCGACGCGGATGCTCGCGAGCACGTCCGCGGGTTCCCGTCGCGATGTTAATTTCTCAAAGGCTCCTTACCCGCTGAGTAGAGCAGCCCGGTGAACGAACCGTTGAAACCGATCCTGATCTTCATGTAGTCGTCCTGGCACTCCGCCTCGATGTCTGTGAAATTAATACGTATTTTCAGAGAGAGTTACATCGATTTCTTTGTGTGCGATATTAAAATTCACAAAAGGTATTTAAATTGGATCGAAAGAAATATGTTTCGGTTAGAACGGAACTCGAGATACAACCGCGATTATATATGCATAGACTTAGTTCGCTACTATTTCGCCCGGTAGAACTATGAAGTCGTAGATATTTCATGCAACATACGCATGAAATACGATCTTTACCGCTAAATACCTCGGTAAATTATCAACTGTCCACGCAGATCGCTGAATAGATAATACGGTAAATATCGCGTAGAATGTATTACACATGCGAGTGTGCTAGCATAAATCAGAAGAAATCCTTTTTCTTCTTCTAACGTAACAAAGTAGTATTCAACGAACGTACAGATCGGCATAAAGCAAAATTCTATTCTCTAAAAATTTCCCCATTCGTCCCACTGCGAAACTCGACCTGCTCCAAAAACCCAACAAACTTTCCAACTTTCCCGTCCAAGTTTCGTTCAGTTTTCATCCAGCGAACGACTCGTCGACATCTCTCCGTTCTCTCGATCGGAAACTTGGATAAACCGCGTTAGCTAGCCGTGAGCTATCACCGCGGATCGAACACAGCGGCTACAATGCCGAAACGGTTGTGCGGTGTCGAAACGGTCGGAAAATCGGGGGCCATCCGGTGGGCGGAAAGCAGCGGAAAACCGGTCGCCGATCACGAGTGAAAGTAAACCGGCGCGGCGAGGAGGCCTCTTATAGGCGCTCTTCGTGGTAAGGAGCCGTTTCCATCGTAAAACGACGTAATCCAGCGGGAGTGTGGAAGATGGACGGCGTTAGATGGAGGCTGCCGATAGTCACACTCGAGGTACGTCCCGATGATACAACGTTTTGCCGCTTCTCTTTCTTTCACTCGGCTCGCAGTTCAGCTGAGCGTGTTTCTGTAGGCTGGTGGACGCGCGTGCACGCGTTGCACGCGTTTTCGTGCGGTATGCACGCACGCTTATTAGAATTGCGGATGCGTGCTTTGTGTTCATCGGCCGGCAAAACGTCCGAGGTTGAACAATGGAGCCCCGGTTACGCAACCGCGATAGTACGCGAGGAAGAGTATTTCGGTGTCCGCGACGAACATTCTTCACTCGCGATTTCGTCCGTGACTCGTACTACGCTGTATCGTGGGAGATTTCGCGTGGAATTAACGAGGGACGATCTGAGGTTTCGAGAGGTTGGGTTACCGGTTAGGGTAGTTCTACCCTAGTTGATAGTATTTCATCGGGGAGTAGGCTTCGAGTGAGATCTCAAAGTTGAAATTTCTGTATGAATGACAGGCTAGTATTATTTTGTACGGTACTGTCAATGAAATTTTGTACTATAATATGTCGTAAGTACGACGGATTTATTTTTCAGTTGGATATTACTCGTTTTCTCTGCTAACGATTTTAGAAACCGTTTTAGCAACCTTATACGTGTATACGACCGCAATTAGTTGGGTTGATAATGTGTTAACAGGAAGTTTTAACATCTCTCGATGCTCCTGCTATGATCTAATTACGATACTTCATTTACAGCATCCCGCAAACTGTTTTCTGATTTAAAATAGCACTGCTTCTCCGTAATAACAACCTACCACCGTCGAATAAGAGAAAAAACTAGCACAACCATTTACCTTTTTACAAAAACGAAACTCCGCGAAATGTAGAATTTAAAGGTTACTCAAAGCTTAAAGTCCTTCATTTAAATCTCGTTACGCCGAACCCGTAAGATTCTAAATTGCAAACGAAACGAACTCCACCTTTGCAAAAACTGGAGTCTACCGGTGGTTGTTAAGTCCGAATTACAGGAACACCAAGTGTGTATCCGGCTGGATCATCACTCTTCGCGTACCAAGCGATCGTTCCGCGAACAACCGAGCTGGTTCATCTTCGTCGGATCGTTTCGTTAATTGCGCGCGTGCTCTCATTTCCGCGCGATTACGATTACCATTCGTTAATGCGCGCGAGAGTAGATAAGTCGAAAATAAGGGAACGAGGATCAAAGGGAAGAGGAACTGGCTACGTTGATAAAGGGGAAGGCGAGACGAGATACTCTCGAGGTCGTAGAATCGAGCGTGCACAGGAGGGTACATTAAAGCTAATGGGTCTTCTTTCGCGTAATTGACGATACCGCGGGTGGCCGCCGCGTTTCCCGCAGAGAGAGAGAGGAGGTCCTTTACGACTTCATTCGAAACGAACTGCAGAGCCTGTGCGAGGAACGTGCCGAATCCATCATCGATAATCATGCACACGGAGTAGCATCCATTTCATGCTTCGTACTTGTACGTCAATCTCTGACGATTCGTATCAATTTACCTCTTAATTAAGCCACCCTTCACCCACACGTCTCTCTCCCTCTCTTTCTCTCTCGAGATCGAAGCGTTAACCTTCGAGGCCAATTACGCGTGGAGGTAATTCACCTCGGTGCGGAGCAGTGTAAATCTCGGAAATTACAAAGCAGATAGAGACAAGGGGCAACGCCTTCGAGGCCGAACAACACACCTCGAGGCTCGATTTATTGGGGGAAAACTGGCGGTGGCTGGCGGCCTCGCAATTTGCCAAATTACGGCCGCCACGGGTCACCAGTTTCCTCGAGATACAAGGATCGATTCTAGACTGCGGATAATCGCCAGATCGAGTGAGAGGAGACGTGTCGAACACGGTGCTCTCTCCGGTGTCCAGAGTGCCGTACGACTTTCCGACACCGTTTTAATTGCGTCCACTCTAACGGTAGCCATTCGCCATCGCGTTCTGAATGCCGGAGCGTCGAGGACGCCGTGGTCCAACGACGATTCCCTTGGATCGATCGATCAAACGCTTCCTGGCTTCGGGCTGGTCCCTTCTAGTTCATCGGCTGCCGCACAAATTGCAATAATAACGGACAGGTGTGTGTGCGTGTGAGCTGTGCTAACGGTCTCCGAGGGTGAAAGCGTATGCTTTCTTCTTCGGGGCTATGGTTGCCAGGGGTTTCGTAGCTGCTCTGGATCTAGACGTTCGTCTTGGAGAAATATGGCAGCAAAGACGAATCTCCCTTTAGACGAGACCTGTTTTTTTCTGTGCTATCGCTACAGCGGAGGTGTAAGAAGTGTGTGAGAACGAAAGAACACTTAACTGAACCAATTGGAAGCACCTTAAGTATCGAGTAACGTGTAAAAGTCAGACGTTTGTCAGGACTAACCTACTATTTCGAATTATTTCAGACTTTACGCTACATTCTGTCGCCATTTTGGTACCGTTTTACTAAACGAAAAATCTCAGCTTCTTGATCTATGTTTTCTTTCTCTAATTTTTTTATGAGAACCTGCAGAGACTTCAAAGTTTTCATTGACTTACGTTGAACTCGAGTAGTGTTAGGCCTGTATCTCCTATGCTCCCGATCCCAAGTCTCCGGATGCCTCTTCCAATCTTCATCCCCGACCACGCCCGTTCCTCCGTTCGCAGCTATACCCTGCAGACCCTGAAGCGTCTGTAGAGCTTGAAGATTCGGACTTAGAGGTCTTCCTTTCAGCGATGGTACCGGTACGTACGCTGCTCCCTCTCCAACGTACACCACCTTGGTAGAAAAACCGACGAGATAAATCAGCAGAATTTCCTATTAATAAAACGACACGTTTATCAACAATTCAACCCTGATTCAGCGTGGACAAATACGAAGCACATCCTATCTTCGGGAGGGATTTAACGTCTCTTTCAGCGACCGCGGGGGAAAAGATCGGCGCGTGACTAACGCTACAGCAAGCTCGTTTCTGGCGTCGGAATCGTCGGTTCGTGAACGATTGCGATGCACGCGCGCCAGGATAATACAGTAAATTCTCTACAAGAGTCAGTAAGTTTGGATTCTACAAGTGACAGTATAGATGGTCCTACGCCTAGGTCTGCGTCATTGCTGCGCCCATGTTATCTCGCTCGCAGTCAGTCAAGCGTGTAACGCTACACCAGTCGGTTTCCTTTACGAGATTACACGGCTCGACAAATCATAATAGAAAAATATAATTTCTTTAATTTTACTTTTTTTCATCCGAAATTTTTCTTAACATATTAATGAGATTTTTCTGATGAAAATGATATCGAACACGATATAATCTGAACAACATTTACTTATTAACACATTCACTGTCACGCCAGATTTACAGGTTGCTGTCAGGCGGCCACAGGAAAATACAATTTTAAGCATAGGATTATAGTATTATGCTTTATAATTTTTTTTTTCAATTGAAAATAATGTCTAGCTTGCTATGATGTTCAAAATTTTTAGTTGACAACATTTATTTTATTTTAATTATTCTAAACATTTGAGGCACTCCAGTCACTGATGACCACCATGGCCATATCGAGGAAACAATCTAACGTTAAAACTTATTGAGTGATTAATTTAATTTCATAATATATCGCTTTAGCGAGACACCGTTTGGTTGCCAATTGTTTATCACATAGAGTCGGCCTACCTCCACGTGCAAAAAAAAAAAAAAATGTAGGGTCGATTCCACTAGTGACAATACAAGTGTTACTGTACTTTGTCCAGTTTGGTGGAGAATATCGTTTAAATGCAATGGAAGTTTACGTGAGTTTTTCTGAATTTCAAAAATTCAGGCAGAATTGTAAATATTATACTGTCTCGCAACGTAAATTTAAGTAAATTAGGTTGAACTGCACAGAAAAAACAAACGGACGCAGCATAACGTGTAGTTATAATTGTTATGACATGTAAATAGAACGATAAATTTAGTGTAAATATAGAAAACGTATAATATAATTTATTTCATGGTATTGTAACAAGCAAACGTTGAATAAATTCCTAAATCGTATTAAAAAAATCATTTAACACAATAATTTCAGCTTTATTATGATTATTCTTGATAAATGACCACAGGTCAACTTGATTTTTAATCGATATAATCTTCAAATTCAGTGTGAATAGAGAAAATGTGTAATATAATTCATTTCACGATATTATAACAAACAAACATTGAATACATTTTTCATTCGTGTAAAAAGAATTATTTA